TGAACATATTTATCAGTAGGGTATTATGTACTTTGTGTATTTAGAAGAGACCCCTTTTTACACTGCCACACAGCTTGATGGGTACAGCCCTCCTCTATTGCTTTTTACAGTACATTAACATAAAACAGAGAGTTACAGGACAGGTGTATGAGTAATTCTCTTGACAAGCATTCATCCCATCCACCTCACACTTGGCGGGTGTTTTGCTGAGGACCAAAGCAAGTGCAGTGTTGAGTGTGAAGTTGTTTGGATGAGCAATTTTGTAGAAAGCAGCCAAAGAAATACCAGAGGGAAATGAATCAGTCCTTTACAAAAAGGCACACATTGAACGGGCACTAGTTATATTACAAAAGACCAATTGTAAAAGTGTTTCCAAATGGCTCTACATGTCAAAAAGGCTTACAAAATGTGCTGGTAGAATTTGCCTGGGGATTCCCTTACAGTACAGACTAAGAACCGCAAATAGGCACAAGAAAACACATAAAAGAAGACCGTTAAAATACTAGCAAACTATGAATAAACAAGGCTCTCCAAAACATGTCGCAATCAGCCTTAAGATCAATCTATCTTCCAACATACATAATGCCAACATACCACAAATGTGTAAGAACAAGGACACATTTTGCAATAGCTGCGACGATGAAGCTGCACGCATTCTGCCTAATCTTAAGATCTTTAACAAATCTTGAAATCAAAGATCTGTAATGGTTTTTCTTAATAGTTGCAAAGAAAAATCATCGTTAATCAAGCTGACATGCTGGTCAGTCTTTCAGTAATAATGGACTGATAGAGTTTTCAGATCCATCTCGTGTGACTATAAACTCGCCTTTTACTTAAAACAATAAATAAATAATCCAATATTTGTGAATTGCCAGCTTCCTCAGAGCATCGTTAACTGTGAGCGTTTCTGCAGGACGTCAGCTGATCACACTTCATTCACACTGACTATGTTTTCCAGCAGAAACCTCCTCTGCCTTCTCCTTCCTGTAAACACGCTGCTGTTTCACGTCCCTGACTGAATTGAGTCTCAACTTCAAAATATTTCAACTTTTAGCAACGCAATCTGAACTGCTTTAAACACCTTGGAGCTTCATCAGGCATGATCTGTTTACTGCAAGCAGAGAAACATAGAGAAGGAAACCTAAAAACTAACGAGTCATATGCGTTTAAACTAGGTCTATGGTGGATTCTTCTCAATATACCAAGCCTATCATCTGATTTTCAGCAATAACAAATTCAGCATGTGCTTGGAGTTCAAGTGGTTTAAATCAAGAAGTTAAAACAGGACATTGCTTTCTCACAGATGATAAATAATAATGTCTTGCTTTCTGACATCTTGTATAGGAAGAAGAAATAAGAAGACTCCCAAACTTTTTAAGAACTTAGAAACTCTCACAGTTAACAATCTTTTCCACAAGCTTGCTGTGTCTCGTTAGAGTGATCCATAAGAACGTATAGAAACTTTGATTTGTGGTTTTATGTGGAGGATTATGTGCCAGACTATTTCTTGGCAAGCGCTGTACTGGTCTCTCCTGGTTGCCTCGCAACTACAGTGAGACAAAGACTCCAGGAAGAGGCATGCCGATGTTTCTTATAATTTCATATAATATGAAAACATAACATAATCACTGAGCTCCAGGAGGTGATGGCAGACTAACAGTTTCATCCTGCTTACAGTCTGTATGCTAAGCTAGGCTAAACATCTGCTGGCAGAAGCTTTATATTTACCGTATACAGACATGAGAGTAGAATAGATGTTTAACATCTAGTCAAAAAATAAGTTGTGTCCAAAAGGGTAAATGATTCAGTCAATGCTTTAATTGACGCTGTTTGGATAGCGCTGACCTCTGAGGGACCAGATCACCAGAGAGTCCAAACAGTTAAAGCTATCATAGCTTAGTTCTGTTGTGCCATCCAACTCTATACAATCTTTCTTTGCCTTATTATAAATTGCGAAATATAGTTTTTTAGACAGTTATGGGGCAGGAACCAACTCTATAAATGTTCATTATAATCTTTTAAAACACACGTTGTGCACTTGTTGTCACGTTAGCAAACGAGCTAGCTAACCGACAGCTAGATCTGGTCAGTCAGGAAATAATTAGCCTTCCCATGTGGCAAAACCTCTTTAAAAAATCTAAACCAAGTCTACTTGGCATAACTTAACACTTCCAGGTGAACTACGACCTGGACACACACTTTACTGGCTAGCTAGCTTGTTAGCAGTAAGCTATCAGCTACAGTCGCTCACTTCAGCGCAGCAGGTATAGACAAATTATCTTGTGTCTATTCTCTGACCATGTTTGGATGTTTGGATGATCCTTGCTCCGACACTTTGTGGTCTGACCAGGTCTTACTTGTTTGTTTCGGGTTTACTTTAGAATTACGTTTAGGTTACGGTTAGTGGAATGTACCGTTAATGAGGGTCTCTACAAGGAGCCAATACAAGAACTAACCTATGTGTGTGTGTGTGTGTGTGTGTGTGTGTGTGTGTGTGTGT